GGTAACTTATATAAAATTCTACGGCGGCTCAATGTGGCTAATACGGTTAAGATCATTCCTAACAGTTTTTACTAGTTACATATATATATATATTTGTATTCACTGTCACGTAGAATACAGAGCAGGGGGGTCTGGCTATTATTAAATTTGGAGGTTTTTTTTTAATTGACTAGCACTGCAAATTATCCTTTTTTTAAAATAATGTATATCTTATGCTTTTACAAAATAACGAAAATGTCGAGCTTGTTTGTTTGTTTTTGCATTTCGCGCAAAGCTACACGAGGGCTATCTGCGCTAGCCGTCCCTAATTTAGCAGTGTAAGACTAGAGGGAAGGCAGCTAGTCATCACCACCCACCGCCAACTCTTGGGCTACTCTTTTACCAACGAATAGTGGGATTGACCGTCACATTATAACGCCCCCACGACTGAAAGGGCGAGTATGTTTGGTATGACGGGGATTCGAACCCGCGACCCGCAGATTGCATGTCGTGCTTATACTTTCAACAAAATATTCGCTGAAGAAGAAATAAAAAATATATAACATTGCAGGATCTGATCTTTCTAGGATATTATAGTGTCCGCAATCAGTCTTAGGTCAGCAAAGGACGTGGTATCAAATGGTATTGTTCGAAGTTCGTTAAATATTGTTCGTAGCGTACGTGGATGCAAGTCGTTAGGTTCTGTCAAAGTTATTTCGCGAAATTAGTACGTGTACAACCAGGACGGATGGTTTGCAGAAAGGACGCTTTATCGCTCGTTGTTAAGTGTAAATGTCATGAACATGCAAAGTTAATTTCCATAGCTGTAAAAAAATAACGTCTCAAAGAGATAAAACATGTAAACTACAGGCATTGAAATCCAAATTATAGACGTTCTTAATGTTATTCCCTATAATATGTTCATTTGCTACTTTCTAAGAAAGTTATATAGAGTGTACTCTAGATACAATTCTGCTGTATTATCATCCAGTCTTCATTGCTAAAATTTCATCTTTTATTGTCGAGTTTTTTTCTATAGTCTGTTCATATGTATATATGTACACTATTTTCCAAATGCGACAAAGATACTCATAGAAAATAATTCTAAGTATCCCTAAAAAGTGAGTGAGAACACGTCAATGTTTTGTTTACTGAAGGTACTTAAAACCCTTAATAGGCTCTATTCCTCTTCTAAGGACACTCCAAAGATTCTAAAGTAAAACAAAAAAAAATCAGTCATTTTACTGGGTTATTGAAAAGGTTCGATATCGAGTTTTGTTTTCATACAAAAAATGTGACTGCACTGCGTTATAGAATACTTGTTTGTTTTCATACCAAAAAATGTGACTGCACTGCGTTATAGAATACTTGTTTGTTTTGTTTTCATACAAAAAATGTGACTGCACTGCGTTATAGAATACTTGTTTGTTTTGTTTTCATACAAAAAATGTGACTGCACTG